TACATAATTATGTCTTATTTTCCCAATTAGATCATAGGCATCTTAAAGCAGAGGCCATCTTTTATATTTCTTTGTCTTCTCCATAACATATAATATACTCTCATATGCAGCAATAACTCATTCAACAAACAATACTTCAGTGGGAATGTGAAAATGCAGAGGGCTGTATATCTATTAGTAATAGCAACAAACAGGATCTAGACCAGTGGTTCTCAACCTTCCTAATGCCGCGACCCTTTAATACAGTTCCTCATGTTGTGGTGACCCCCAATTTCACTGTTACAAATTGAACATAATTAAAGCATAGTGATTAATCACAAAAACAATACGTAATTATATGCGTTTTCCGATGATCTTAGGTGACCCCTGTGAAAGGGTCGTTCGACCCACAAAGGGGTCGAGACCCACAGGCTGAGAACTGCTGGTCTAGAGAGCGAGAGAGAGGTGTTATTACTCTTTTTATGTATAAACCAGAGGCCTGCTGCACGAAGATTCGTGCAATAGGCCTTCTTTCCCTTGGCCGCCAGTACCAGTTCTCCTCTTGCACCCAGGACCCAGACCTTCACTCTGGCCACCACCTTCCATCTTCGCTCTGGACACAGTCTTAGCTGCGGCTGGAGACTTCAGTCTTTGCTCCTCGCTCGGGCGAGAGTCTTCAGTCTCTAGCCAGAGCTGCTCCTGTAGCTCCTTCCTCCCCCTCATAGCTTGATCGCTGCTTCGCCTGCAGACCTCACCGACCGGATCCTGGGTTCCAGGGGGCCGCCTTGCTTGCAGCCATACTTTCCGATCATGATCATGATCACAGGCGGCAGGCAAGGTGGCTCCTGAGTCCGGGGGTGCCGCCTTGCCTGTGGCCCAGCTTTCCAATCACAGCCGCAGTGTCCCGCAGCCCAGGGCCGCAAATGGGGGTCCCCACTGGGGGCAGGGCTTAGACAGCACATGGGAGCCCAGATGGCGGCTCACGCTGGCCCGCCCTGCCTGCAGTATGCAAATTTGCCGCCATCTTTGTTGGTGGTTAATTTGCATATCGCGCTGATTAGCCAATGGGCGGCATAGCAAAGGTATGGTCAATTACCATGTTTCTCTATTATTAGATAGGATCATAGATGTATATATAGGACATTAGCATATATGGGGAGAGCAATTGGGGGACAGAGTGTCAAGAGGTTCTTTAGTGGGATGATAACAAATACTAATCTGCAACACACTAAATAACAGAACATATATAAAACATTGCTAACATATTTTTATTAAACTGTCCACATATTTTATTTTTAAAATAACTTGTTTCTAATTATAAAAATGTATGTTCATTATGGCAAGTATAAAAACATTTACAATAAAATAGAAATCACATATGACCCCAATACTGTGAGACAACTACTGCTAATATTTTGATAGAGTTCCTTGTAGCCTTTGTGTTTTTATAAAATACAAAACAGGAATAATAAAAGTTCTAATATCAGCCTTCAAAAATTGAAAGCAGTAATTAAGCTTTTTCAAATGCCTTGCAAAACTACCAAAGGAATAGAGAAAATGTAATAAGTGAGGACTAAAATAAATTGTCCTCACAAACTTAAAATTCTTAGACATGAAGCAAAACTAAATCTGGGCAAGGGGCAATGAGAACATAGTTAACTTCACATGCACCCAATATGAATGATAGTTTAGCACTTCCACATACAATGCCAATCAAAGTGAAATCTCTCTACTTTTAATAATGTCATCTTATAATTTCTTACCCTCTAAATAAAAATGCAAGTAGTGGTCCAGCAAGATCCAATCTTTTGTTTCCATAGTGATCTCTGTCATCTAATTCTCTTCTACCCAAAGCTGCTAGAAGTAACCTATGCACCATATACCTTTAAGAAAACAAAAATAAAGGTGAGAAAAAGAAAACACATGGTTTTGGGATTTTTAAAAAATTTATTTATTAAAAACATCATGTTTGACATTTTGGGCTTTAAGGAAAGC